TGTGTGTGACTAAAAGAAGCAGCCTCAGCGCAACTGCGGACACCAGATTCGCAACACAAAACACTGCAAAGCACCCTCTCAAACCAACGCGCAACTCAACGCAAGCTGCGCCTGGAGCCTTGCCCTGATCTCGCTTTTGGTGCCTTTCTTAGAAACCTTCATCTTCGTGGCCATCTCTCTCAACTGCTGCAAGGACAGTTTGCGCAAGGAGGCCTGTCTCAGAATGGAATGCTCCGCAGCAACGACGCCAACCAAACAAGTTCAACCGCGCGCCTCTGCGGGGGCATGCACTTCTGGGGCTTTGTCCTTCAGCTCCGCAAAGCCCTAAAACCCTCTGCAACATGCTGCAACTGCGGATGACCTGCCATCTCACCGCAGCCAACAAAACAAGTTCAACTGCGCGCCTCTGCGGTGGCTGCCGCTTCTGGGGCTTTGTCCTTCAGCCCCGCAAAAACCCTAAACACCCTCTGCATTGCGGATGACCTGCCGTCTCACCGCAGCCAACCAAACAAGTTGAACTGCGCGCCTCTGCTGCGGCTGCCACTTCTGGGGCTTTGTCCTTCAGCTCCGCAAAACCAAACAAGTTCAACTGCGCGCCTCTGCAGTGGCTGCCGCTTCTGGGGCTTTGTCTTTCAGCCCCGCAAAAACCCTAAACACCCTCTGCATTGCGGATGACCTGCCGTCTCACCGCAGCCAACCAAATAAGTTCAACTGCGCGCCTCATAAGGAAGAATCTGCCCGAGCAGATCAAGATCTATCACCGAGGCAACTCTACTGTCCCGGCGAACAAAACCCCCCCGCAACGCAAAAATGCATTTGGAATCTAGGGCACCCTACAGCAACCGGGTTCTATTGTCAGCTATTCCAGAAGCTGGCCTGCAACTCCAGCTCTTCGAGCGTTGCTGCTGCCGCTCGCTTGCGTAGAGAGGTCTCCGGAGAAGACGCCATCGCTTCTAGAGCTTCTGAACTTCAATTCGAGACAGAAATGGCCCAGACCTGGATTTGCCCCCTCAAGGGGCTCTGAAAAGGAGACGTCTAGTCCTTGCCCAAAGGTGATGGGATTTGCCCTTCCAGGGCTTTGAAACAAGGGATTCTGGACGTCTTTGCCCAAAGGTGATGGGATTTGCCATTCCAGGCCTTTGAAACAAGGGATTCTGGACGTCTTTGCCCAAAGGTCTTGCAGGGCTTTGAAAAAAGGGATTCTGGACATCTTTGGGATTTGGTCTGAGGGCCCCTGCACCTAAACTGATGGGATTTGCACCTAAACTGATGAGATTTGCACCTAAACTGATGAGATTTGCACCTAAACTGATGAGATTTGCACCTGGATTCGCACTTCCACGTGAGGACGGGAAAGTGCAAATAGAACGTCGTGGGTGGACAGCAAGACGAAGCCGTGCATGGATAGGTTTGAAACGGTAATGGTCCGGAGAAGACGCCATCGCTTCTAGAGCTTCTGAGCTTCAATTCGAGACAGAAATGGCCCAGACCTGGATTTGCCCCCTCAAGGGGCTCTGAAAAGGAGACGTCTAGTCCTTGCCCAAAGGTGATGGGATTTGCCCTTCCAGGGCTTTGAAACAAGGGATTCTGGACGTCTTTGCCCAAAGGTGATGGGATTTGCCCTTTTCTGGACGTCTTTGCCCAAAGGTCTTGCAGGGCTTTGAAAAAAGGGATTCTGGACATCTTTGAGATTTGGTCTGAGAGCCCCTGCACCTAAACTGATGGGATTTGCACCTAAACTAATGAGATTGCATCTCTTGTTTTTTGCACCTAAACTGATGAGATTTGCACCTAAACTGATGAGATTTGCACCTAAACTGATGAGATTTGCACCTGGATTCGCACTTCCATGTGAGGACGGGAAAGTGCAAATAGAACGTCGTGGGTGGACAGCAAGACGAAGCCGTGCATGGATAGGTTTGAAACGGTAATGGGTGACAAGACACACATTGAACTTGGAAAGGCAGTCGTGGATAGACCACACCCTCGGGCTTGGGCAGCCTAGGCGGGCTGCCAGGGCAACCTGGAGCTGACCCCCCGGAAAAACATTTTTTCGGGGCGAAATAAATTGTTTTTGGCCCAGCCGGATTTTGAAGACCGAGCGGCCAGACGGGAAAAGGCGGCTTTCAGCCCCGCTTGTGAGCAAGCCGGCCTTGGTTCAGCGGCGAATGCGTCGGACTCAGCTTTGTCCCGCGGGAAAATTTGGAGGCTCGAATCTCGGACCTGTCGCGCAAAACGAATTCTTTTTTGACACCGCCAGGCTTGGGGTGAAGAGGCGGGCGCGAGCGAGGCAGCCAGAGACGACGCAAAAACGATTTTTCGGGCCGAAACAATTTGTTTTTAGGCGCGGCCAGGTATGGGGTGAGCACAAGCCTTGGGAAGAGGCAGGCGCGTGCGATACAGCCAGAAAGGCGGCTACTGGCAGCCCGCCATTTTGCGCCATTTTGCGCCCAATGGGACACAGCAACAGCAACAACAACAGCAACAACATCGACAAGAATCACCAGACGGACGAAGCCAGCCTGCCCGTCCGGTTGCACAGGCGGTGAGCCTGTGGGAACTGCATCACGTATCCCCTTTTCGACAGGCAGCTGCCGGCCAGACAAAACAACAACAGCAACAACAGCCAGCCTGCCCGTCCGGTTGCACAGGCGGTGAGCCTGTGGGAGCCGCATCACGTATCCCCTTTTCGACAGGCAGTTGCTGGCTCAGCAGCAGCAGCAGCAACAACAAGAACGACAACGACAACGACATCGACCTCCCCGTGCGGCTCGAAATCTGTGAAACTGAGTGGAAAGCACAAGCGTGGATAGGTCCGGGAAATTGCTCAGCGATGTTTGACCTCCCCGTGCGGCTCGAAGTCTGCGAAAATGAGTGGAAAGTACAAGCGTGGATAGGTCCTGGGCTCGTAGTTAGGTTTCGCGGGGACGGGGAAACTAGGCGTCAAGGCTGCTGCCGAAGCAGCAAATAAAAAAACCGAGTTTTACGACGAACTCCAAAAACTCGGCTTTTTTGTTTGCGCCCATTTGCGCCCCGAGGGAATGCAGCAGCAGATGCATGAGGTCGTACAGGTACTTCATGAGGTCGGTCGTACAGGTACTTCATGAAATGGTATAGCATAAGGTCGTACAGGTACTTCATGAGGTCATACATCATGAGGTCGTACAGGTACTTCATGAGGAAGTGGATGTGGGGATGTAGAAGGTGATGTTGTGGTGGTAGTCCATGAGGCAGACCATGAGGTGGTACAGCATGAGGTCGTACAGGTGCTTCATGAGGTCGTGCAGCATGAGGTCGTAGAGGTACTTCATGAGGTGGTATAGTGGAATAGCATAAGGTCGTACAGGTACTTCATGAGGTCATACATCATGAGGTCGTACAGGTACTTCATGAGGTGGAGGATGTAGAAGGTGATGTTGTGGTGGTAGTCCATGAGGTAGACCACGAGGTGACAGCATAAGGTCGTACAGGTGCTTCATGAGGTCGCACAGGTACTTCATGAGGTTGCGCAGGTACTTCATGAGGTCGTACAGCATGAGGTCGCCTAGGTATTTCATGAGGTAGTGGATTCAGGAGGCACCCGTCGGTAGTCTCCGGTGCCAGCTTGTTGTAATGGCCAACGTGCTGCAGTTAGCCACTTTCTTCTCTGGGTCAGTGGTCTGCAGAGACTTGGAATCACTTGAGTGCTCGAGGGCTGCTGTCAGGTCAAACGGCTCGCATGAACACAGCAGGAAAACAGCCAAGCGCTCACAGAAAGGACCAAACAGTCATGGCAGAGCGACCAGGAGATATTCCTTTTTGATACGGCTCATTGTCTCCAGTGACGACACTATCTGCAATCTCAACAGCCTACCCTGCAGCTATCACAGGCAGCGCCCAAACAACAAGCAGGTTCGTTTAGTGGCATTTTGCAGGAAGTTGGAGACAGCTTGCTCTTTGCCACAGACTTGACCCCTTCTTGAAGAAGCAGGCTACTTGGTAAGTGAGCCGACTTGCTAACCTCAGGCAGCCCAAATGGCAGGAGCTACTTGCAGCCCCGCTAGGCGGGTATAGCCGTGAGTGCTCCCCATTTACTAGGTATGAGTATCCACTTCGCGACCCCGCCTCGGCCTGAGAGCTTCCCGCCGCATTCGCCCCGACACGGCCAGCCACGGCCGGAGGGCGCGGACGCCATGGGCTGAGTGGGCGACTGTTGTGCCCAGCACATGCAGTTGGATGTATATCCCTCTATTCATATCTCGAAACCTCGAACGACCCTTCCTAGCGGGGTCTGTCGAAAGAAGTAGGGTTGTCCATCAGAGACCCTCAACGGTTGCATAAGCTTGGGGCTGTATGGAAAGTCTCCTTGAGCCGGCTCGTCCCTATAACTGTACTTGCTGTTCATGAAGAGTGTTTGTGGGTGTTTGATAAGGCTGTGTTATCATGACAAGGCCTGAAGTGCAACACCGTCCGTTCAAAAATTGGAGCGTGACAAAGCGTGAAGCGACCCCATTTCCACGCGACACAGTTCCATTTGAGCGTGAATGACCAGTGAAAGTGGGCACGCCAACTCTCAAAAAAACAGAATCGGACACTTTTGGACGTCTTCCGAAACGACTCTGCAGCTGGGGCCTTTGGGGGAGGACCCTGTTAGGAAGGGGGCCCTTTACGTCATGTCTACTTGGATCCACTTGAAGAGCCGTAGGATACTTGGAGCAAATTGAAAGGCGCGTGCCGCTTGGACAAGAGCCACTTGGAGCCATTTGGAGCCACTTGGAGCCACTTGAAACAGAACGTGCCACTTGGAGCCACTTGGAGCCACTTGAAGCGGCACATGCCACTTGGAGCCACTTAGAGCCACTTGAAGCGGCATGCACCACTTGGAGCCACATGGAGCCACTTGGAGCCACTTGAAGCGGCGCGTGCCACTTGGAGCCACTTAGAGCCACTTGAAGCGGCACGCGCCACTTGGAGCCACTTGGATCCACTTGAAGTGGCTGAAGTGGCTTGAACTGCCAAATTCAAATAGCGCACGTCAGGCGACCCCAATGCAATCCTGGGTGAGCTCGGTGTTGAGAGCCCAAATACTTGGCGGTCTCGATCAACGTATCCGTGCCGTGGGTGATGATGATGCACGTAGAGGAGCTTGTCTGACCGAAATCGAACACAGGAAGCCGGCCCAAGGGAGCCTTTGTACCTTCTGAGGTGCGTTGACCCCTTTGACATGCACGAGTCATCTTAAACAACAGATGCAACATTTGGAACCAGACAGAGGGCCCAGAGCTTTCATGCCATCGGCTGCACTGAACTGTCACACAACCCTTCACCATTCTTCAAGCAGGCGATCTGCTAGCCTCTCAAAGAACAGATCTTACAGAAACCTCTGCAACTGGTCTGGAAGGCGCTATCAGCGGATGCTGCAGGGCAGGAATATGAAGTAGACCGCTGGAAATCAGCGAACTGGACCCCTACAAATGGGACATTGCCCCCAAGTCATGGTGTGATTTCAACAACAACAAAAAAACTGTATATTTGCCACCAAAATGGGCCAAACCCAAAAAGCGACTAAAGTCCGAAACGGAGCTCAGGGAGTGAGTTACTTGGGTGTGCGTCCAAGTAAGTGGTTAACCCAAGTCATAGCCCGCGTAAAGAAGTCTCCCGTGTCGAGTTAAGCTTCTTGGTGGGTTGCCTGGGTGGCCAGCTACTTGGCTGGCCGAACATCGTAGGAAGCCACAAGTTCGATGGCTTATTCCATTTGCTTTGTTGTCCCCTGGAAAGAGACAAAAACAGCTTCCAGCGGTGATAGGTCCCTCTTTCAAACCAAAGCAGAACACAACATTTTCAGCAAACGGATGGATTGCATTACAAAGAACCGCCGGGGGGGGGGGGGGAGGTTGTGGGTCCAAAGGTCAGAAGTATCCTTGGGCACCTGTTGGCTTTCCTTCGAGACAACACCATGAAAATGGGCTACCTGTCAAAAACAGGGATCCTTACATTCTACACCCGATTGCCTTGTAAATGGTGGTGTCCCTTTATTTTGGTGGAAAAAACCATGTTTCAAATGGGCAAAATGTATCTTTTAAGGAGCCCTGAAAAATCTACGCAAAAACGGGCGGTGGAAACTTCACCGAGTGTCTCCAGTGGGGTGACTCATGTGCATCTGTGCTTTTGTCAGGCTTATTTCTCCTTTTGGGTCAGATTCCAAAGGAACCAAGATCAAATCACGCAACTTCCGGGGTTGCCTTGTTTTGCCACATACCCAAGCTTCCGTGTGAAACCAAGGCTGAAAGACTCGAACTCGCCCTTCTGAACGCCGCGGCGAGATTCCAAAGCCCCGCCTCACACGCAGAAAGCAACGCCGCCCGGTCGTCATCTGTGATCTCCTGAGCAAATGCGGCCTGTCTGGCCCATGAAGCGTCACAATGTTTACCTCTGATTAATAACTTCCATTTGCGTTTTCGTCCCCGGAAAACATGAGAACATATTTCCAGTAGTGAAATCGAAAAAACCAAGAGGGAAGTATACAAGATATTCTTAATCACATGGAAGATACCCCCCAGTTATTAATCGTGGAGTCCTTCCGGAACAAAAGATTCCCTACTGAAAGGACCCCCTCGTAATAATAAGTGGGGTGGTCATTAATCAGAGGGGTTAGCATTCCCTCTGCACTCACGACATGCACTTCTTCCAAACTGAGTTGTTTCCCCCAAAGGAAAATTGACAAATTGGGGCGCCCCGAGATTTGTTGGTGGCCCACCATGTCCTCCCCAGCCAACACTCCTATTGGGCCAAAAGTCAAGGGAGTCAGAAAAAGTTGATTGACCCCTTCTGGCCAACCGACAACAACTTGTCGAAGCTTGCCTAGGTTCTCCAGTAGAGAGGAGAGAGTTAGTAAGAGTGCCCCTTTTTCTGTAGTGTATTCTAGTAGGGGAACCCTCCCCCAAAAAAGGGTAAAAGGGCACTACTGCAGGACCTAGTTGCAGCTCAACTGGTAAGTTGACTGATCGAGTGGATTGGCCGGAACAAGTCTCAAGCTTTTACCACTAAAATGGTTTTACCACTAAAGTCCAGGAACTCAGGGAGTGAGGTTACGAACCCAGGCAGCTGACCAGTCCTGTGAATCTTTGGCGCAAACGCTCGTCAGCTCCCAAGTAAAGCCTCAGGGGTGGGGGCCGTCAGAGTTCGTCTCAAACACGGAATCGAATTCCCAAAGGCTTCACGTACCTTATAATGTTAGCCCCGGAAGCAGAACCCCTGGTTGATTTTGATCGGGGGGTCTCCAATTCCTTTTAGTGATTGGATTCAGACCACTTTTGGGGGGAACACCCCCCTAATAGTGGGACGGGTTCATTCATCCTGGGTCAACATTGTGCAAATATTAGGAATCTGTATTCGACGAATTCCCTTGAACCCATCCGGATACCGCAAATACGGGATACCAAGGGACCCTCTGGGTTAGATTTCTCTTTAAACCAACTTGAGGGAACAAAAACAACAAAACAAAAAACAACTTGATGCGCCGTTTCTGCGCAGCCCTGACAAACTTCGGCCATTGGAACCAAGGGGACCAGCTCATTCCGCACCAATTCACAACCGGAGACCTGACACCTGCATCAAGGTTGACCCCCACAGCCTGGTAGAGGATGCAGACCCATGTCGAGCCCCCCCCTTACCTGAGGTACCAAAAAGCCCTCTGGACAATGGTTTGCTTAAACCGCCTCCTTGGGCTTTCTTTACACATCTCGCACATGTAGCCGCCAATTCTGCTGCGTAAACGTCAAGGGGCTTTCCTGTTGGTTCCCTGGACTCTTCTGCCTCCGATTCTGCTGCGTAAGTATCAAGCGGGGGGGTGCTTTCTGGTTGGTGGCCCCTATCCAATGCTAGGGCCTCCAGTGTCTAGTGGAGAGGTTAGAATAAGGGGGCCCCCTTTTCTGTGGTGTATTTTAGTGGGGGAACCCTCCCCCAAAAAAGGGTAAATAGGCACTACTGGGAGACCTAGAATGGCTGTCAAGGACCCAATTGACAGATATGGGTGTGTTTCTGTTTGAGGGTTGCCCTTTGGACTGGTTTTAAAGGGCAAACAAAAGATTACCAACTCATTTCGGAGGGTCCCCCAAAAAAAAGACAGACCAATCGCGTCATGCCCAACACGACGTCCGGTCAAGCACAAGGAGTCCTTGTGGCGTTACTCGCTCCAAGATCCTCAGAACAGCACGTCCAGTGACACAGTCCCCCCCGAACTTATGAACATACCCCACCACACCTGTCTTCTTTTCAGGCGAAGGGTACCTTTCCAAAAGGAGTGCCGAGCCAGGGAGAGCCCAAGCTTCAGCGTCCTGGAGATAGTTTTCAGATGTTTTGAGAACCCCTCACGGGGTGGCCAATCCACTCAGGAAGTGAGATGTGGAAGCTTGAAGATGTCGAGGGCAGACCTGAACGCTTTCTTATAGTTGGGGGTGTCTATATCGGGGGGGATAAGCCCAGCAGCAGCCGAGGATAAGCCACGAAGGCCTTACAGTGTTAAAAGGGTTAACCAGCACAAGTCCGAACTGTTTACCGGTTAAAAGGCTCAGGTAAGGAATTAAGCAATGGTCCATCTATATTTATCCTAACGACACTTACCCAAAAAGCATTTCGCTGAATTAAGTTGGTTCCAAAGGGAACATTGAGCGGGTGACAAACTGCATGTGCCCAATAAGGTACCTTGCGCTGGGTGTGACCCCCAATGTGATGCTTCCTGACCCCTGGGGATTTTCTTGGCTCTCAGTGAAAATTTCGAAAATTTCACAGGTTTTGGGATCGCAGGAAACCACCAGTTGGATTGTTTCTGGGATGTTTTCAGATCGCCTTCTAGGAAAAAAACAGCACGAAACTAACCAGAAACGCAACAAACCTAAGGAACCCGGCGCCTGAAAACCTTCAAGGTTTATGGGGGGTCATTCCAACGCTTTCCCCAACCACTGAGAACCTGCAAATGGTGGGGCGGCTGCCTTTTGGTGCCCCTTTCAACCAACTTCAATATATAAGGACACACTCAAAAACCCACGGCTGTCTATCTTGCAAGTTACTGGCTGATAGAGAGAGAGAGAGAGAACAAAAAGACACACATGTGTGTTCAGCAAAACAGAACAAGGGCAAGGTGGGAAGCCGCAAGAACATGCTGCAGTCTCCATGACCCGTAACACAACTTGGGGTCCTGAGTCTCGAATTTGAGCTTCTTTTGGTCCCATGCTTGATTTGGGTCAGAAGGCGCACTCCAGGAACCCCCACACCAACTCAATCAACTCAAATTGTCAAAGGCACGGGATCGATCAAATTTTCGGGCATGGGGCCCGCCGCAGCCAAGTTCTTAACATCTATAATGATTGCCACTGCCCGCAAAGAAGCTGTGAGTTGATGGGATATACCACCACTCTGTAGCCACTATGTGGGTCTCAAACCCAGTTTCCCTTGGTAGTGGCCTGGGGGTGGTGGATGGACACATTCCCAGTTGGGATGGACAAAACTCCATGACCAATCCTACCAACTGGTGCAGGATTTTGTCCATCTGCAGGTGCCGGTGCCCTCGTTCCCATAAAGGAAACCCAAGGTCCTTGCACAGTAACCGTCCACTGTTCGATGTTCAACCAACGTCAGCTAAGAGCCGCAGTTACGACTAGGTTGATACGGGTGCGCCCGTTATAACTATGGTTGTAACCTGCTTACCTGACGTTGGTTGAGCATCCAAGTAGGGTTGGTTTGAATGGAAGCCACAAGTTGAAACGTTCCCTTCCCATTTTTTGGGGATTCAGATTCGAAACGACTATGAGACGCACCCGGACATGGCTGTGGGAAATGATCACTAGGATGCAACATAAAAGGCTTCCCAAAGACTAACCCCCCTCCATTTTTTCAGGGGGAAGATTCCCATAGCCAAACCTCGAGCAATCCCGCAACCCTGCACTTGAACCAACCCCAAAGCCATACACGTGGGGTACCTGAGGCTCCCTCAAATGGGCGCTTGGATGTTCGATTCGCCAAGTTAAGTGGTCGGCCAGGTCGGCACCTAGGATCCCACAAACCTGCACCCGGAAAATCCAAGCGGAAGAAACTTCTGCCAAAGCTCCTTCCGACCGCTGGCTCCCCGATCTCAAAGGCCCAGCCGCCGGTACTTCGCGGGTAGGCCTCTAAATCCCATCGAACACCCGAACTCGGGGAGCCGGAAACTCACCTCCTAATTTGGTTGCTGTTGACGGAAAACCGCTTGATTTCCCAAAAAGTTAAAGTCTAAAGATCCAACCTAATAGCAGTCAAGCTAAGTGGCTTGGTCCAAAACCACACATGTCTGGGTGGCTTGGTTTCCAAAAAAGGAGGCAAGCTTTTTGGTTGCCGCTCAAATGGTCCAAGCCCAAGGAACAAGTCCGTAAGCTCAAGGAGTGAGGAAGCGGGGCGTATCCCGGGCTTTTATCAGCGGCCTCGGAACTTTGATATCCATGTCATCCCCAACGGTCAGTTAAAAGAAAAAAGAGACACGAGCTGTTTGGAGTGAGGAACGCCCGTTTGCCGGGTTGCTTAAAAAAACTCAGGTTCATCCTGGGCTTCCATGGCTGACCTTCTATGTTGCCGTCAATGTCATCCCCAACGGCCAGTTAAAAGAAAAAAGAGACACGAGCTGTTTGGAGTGAGGAACGCCCGTTTGCCGGGTTGCTTAAAAAAACTCAGGTTCATCCTGGACTTCCATGGCTGACCTTCTATGTTGCCGTCAATGTCATCCCCAACGGCCAGTTAAAAGAACAAATGGACACGAGCTGTTTGGAGTGTTGAACGCCCGTTTGCCGGGTTGCTTTAAAAAACTCAGGTTCATCCTGGGCTTCCATGGCTGACCTTCTATGTTGCCGTCAATGTAATCCCCAACGGCCAGTTAAAAGAAAAAAGAGACACGAGCTGTTTGGAGTGTTGAACGCCCGTTTGCCGGGTTGCTTAAAAAAACTCAGGTTCATCCTGGGCTTCCATGGCTGACCTTCTATGTTGCCGTCAATGTCATCCCCAACGGCCAGTTAAAAGAAAAAAGAGACACGAGCTGTTTGGAGTGAGGAACGCCCGTTTGCCGGGTTGCTTAAAAAAACTCAGGATGGCCAAACTTCTTGTGTAGGAGCCCAACGGTTTGTTCACCATTGTTCCCTACGGGAAACCAACGAAGCAACCATTTGAGGGTCAACGACTTTGGGGGGTTCTGCTTATCAACCTGGGCGTGTTGCCCTTTAACTGGCCGTTGGGGATGACATTGACGGCAACATAGAAGGTCAGCCATGGAAGCCCAGGATGAACCTGTTTTTTTAAGCAACCCGGCAAACGGGCGTTCCTCACTCCAAACAGCTCGTGTCTCTTTTTTCTTTTAACTGGCCGTTGGGGATGACATTGACGGCAACATAGAAGGTCAGCCATGGAAGCCCAGGATGAACCTGAGTCTTTTTAAGCAACCCGGCAAACGGGCGTTCCTCACTCCAAACAGCTCGTGTCTAATTTTTTTTAAAAGGGCCGTTGGGGATGACATTGACGGCAACATAGAAGGTCAGCCATGGAAGCCCAGGATGAAGATCCTTCAGGTTTCTATGACAAGCAGAGGTGGTGTTTTTCTTTGAGGGTGCTTGTGTTTGCGGTTTCAAAGGGAAAACCAAAGGTAAACCACCATTTTGAGGGGCGGGTCAACTTAAAAAACAAGCCAATGTCAGGTGGCGCGAAAGAATGTAAAACAAAAAAACAAATGCCTCCCGGAGCTTCCACGACCAAAAGAGAAATCGGGGTCATATACTCAAACAGAGGGGTCCTGGTCTGGATTGCTCCAAGCTCTCCTGAGCTTTCAAAAGTTCTGTCACAACTCAGATGCCCAGTGGTCATGGGAAAAACAGGGCATCCTTTTTTGGTTGCTTGACATTTTAAGAGAAACCCTTCCCCAAAAAAAACATAATTTCACAAAAAGAGGGGGCGGAATCCACTGGGCAACTGGGACAAGCGCCAGGTCTCTCCCCGCCGCCTTTTTGTCGCTTGATGTGTCCTAATTCTCTGACTCACTCGCCAAGCGATCTCTCCGATCCGCGAGTAGTCGCGGTCGTTGCTCAGCACGTCTTCCCGCCCGGCGGCGAGATGCATCACATCCTGGCTCGCGTGACGCTTGCGTG